CTCAGTCTATATTCCGCGCAAAGGACATTACCAAATAAATATCCCTCAGGGAGGACCTTGTACTAGTTTGCCGCAGCAAAAGTCACCGTGGAAACGCACAAGACCTCAATAGGACCCAAACCGATGCCAAGGCGGCCCCGCAACTCCAGTGCGTTTCCAAGATGGCCCCAAAACATAAATCAACCCGACATTGCGGCAAATTCGTGTCGGGACGCCCCTCGCGTTGATTTTCGACACCCCCCGAATCGTTCAACCTCGCACGATCGGCGGCATTCCGATCGCCAAATCGCTCCGCATTGTCGATGCCACTGGCGGCGTTCAAGCTTGAACGCTCGCGGCGGGGTCGCCGTGACGTCAACGCGACGCGAGCCCATCGCGCCCTTAAGGCGACCTGAAAAGGGCCCCGTGATCCGCACATGATGTCGACGTGGCTTCCCGAAGGCCGCTGGGCAACCCAAAGGCGGCCCGACGAATATGCAACAGGCGATCAAAGGATGTCTCCAGGACCATACGATGGCCCCCAAAAGGGCACACAGTGGCCCAAGCAATGCCAGAGCACGACACCATGGCCCTGTCATGGTCCTGATGCGCTCTCGAGATGACACAACGCCAATACGAGATCAAGCTGCGGAATTTGCATCTCGCGCGGAAGCAAAGGGAACCAAACTTTTTTTATGGGTAGGGGGGGGTTCAATGCCTCCTGGGCCCTCGTTCCCTTCAAGACTGCCGTCGCGGTGAACTCATGTCGGTGAGCCAGATGCTCACTCGGGCGCACTCGTAAACGTTCACAGGACTTTCGGCACGGCGATTTATGGATTTCTTCAGTAAGATTCCTTCTTCTGAACGACTCCTTAGTAATGACTCATTAGTGTACGACCTTTTTCCTGTAAAAGATTACTCATTACGGATTCTACAGTGAGGACTCTTTTGTTAAGGATTATTCAGAGAGGATTCCTCACTCAGCATTCCGAATCGAGAAATCCTTAAGAAGGCTCTGTAAAAAGTAAGCCTTCGGTTAGGATTCCTTCGTAAGGATTCCGATACCTCTTGCTCGTGGCTCCTCGTGTCAAGCCGAATGGCCAACACTCATTGAAAAGAGGTGGCTCTGAGGGCCAGCAACCACTGTAACAACCATGTGTGTCAGGTCTTTCTGAAAAAACCTGACGCACTTGTTCAGGCTTTGGTGGAAGTATGCGCTCTCAGGCTGACAGGCCCACAAAGGCATGGGACACCGAACGCGATGCATGTGTAGTGCAATGGCTGCTGGCCCTTGGACATGGAAAACTCGTGTATTCACAATGGTTGTTCGTCCGAGCCCGCTCGTGCGGCACTCTTTGGGAGCTCTGTCATTCAACCTGGCGGCGCTCAAATAACAAACGTTCCGTATCAAAAAGGATGCATTAGTACGGGCTCCGTCGGGATTTCCTTGGTAATGATCCTGCCTGAAGGATTTGTCAGTAATGACTCTTTGTTAAGAAGTGCGTTTGTAAAGGATTCTGCGTTGCGGATTCTACAGAGAGAGCCTTTTTCGTTCAGGAGCAGTCAGGAAGGATTCCGTACTAAGGATTCCTCACCGAGATGTCCTTAGGAAAGCTCTGCATGAAGAACTCTGCAGTAAGAGTTACTGAGTAAGGATTGCATGGCAAGCGCCCGTCGCTAAAGACGTTCTGAGTAATGTTCCCTTGGTTCAGATTAGTTCAAACGAATGTGTTGGAAATGGTTCATTTAGACGGGTGCCCTTGGCAATGGTTTGTCCGTAAAAACTACTGAGTCCCAGCTCGCCATTCCTGGGGGGCTGCGATCTGTGAAACTGTCGCCACTTTCGAGGCCTGCTGGGGGGCTCAGCATAGAGGGTAATCGCGGCATATTCAAATTAGACCTCGCCATCCCTGGGGGGGGGGGGCTGCGATCTGTGAAACTGTCGCCAGTTTCGAGGCCTGCTGGGGGGCCCAGCATAGAGGGTAATCGCGGCAGATCCAAATTAGACCTCGCCCTCCCTGGGGGGCTGCGATCTGTGAAACTGTCGCCACTTTCGAGGCCTGCTGGGGGGCCCAGCACAGTGAGGGCCACGCGCGGATTCAAATTAGACCTCGCCATCCCTGGGGGGCTGCGATCTGCGAAACTGCCGCCATTTTCGAGGCCTGCTGGGGGGGCCCAGCACAGTGAGGGCCACGGGCAGATTCAAATGAGACCTCGCCGTCCCTGCGGGGCTGCGATCTGTGAACCTGTCGCCACTTTCGAGGCCTGCTGTGACCCCGTTTTCGAAGTGGCTAGGAGTGCTCAGGAATTGTAAATCATCAGCTTTATCAAGCCCTTTTCCTGTAGCCAGTGTCCTACGAGTCTCCCGAATTCCGTCTGCAGACATATGTAACCCTCGCTCCGTCATCGCCCCCGTATAAAGTATCCTAAACTATTTGCGCCCCGCTTTTGCGCAGGGGTTACAAAAGCGGGGCGCAAATAGTTTAGGATACTTCATACGGGGGCGATGACGGAGCGAGGGTTACATATGTATGCAGACGGAATTCGGGAGACTCGCAGGACACTGGCTACAGGAAAAGGGCTTGATAAAGCTGATGATTTACAATTCCTGAGCACTCCTAGCCACTTCGAAAACGGGGATCACAGCAGGCCTCGAAAGTGGCGACAGGTTCACAGATCGCAGCCCCGCAGGGACGGCGAGGTCTCATTTGAATCTGCCCGTGGCCCTCACTGTGCTGGGCCCCCCAGCAGGCCTCGAAAATGGCGGCAGTTTCGCAGATCGCAGCCCCCCAGGGATGGCGAGGTCTAATTTGAATCCGCGCGTGGCCCTCACTGTGCTGGGCCCCCCAGCAGGCCTCGAAAGTGGCGACAGTTTCACAGATCGCAGCCCCCCAGGGAGGGCGAGGTCTAATTTGGATCTGCCGCGATTACCCTCTATGCTGGACCCCCCAGCAGGCCTCGAAAGTGGCGACAGTTTCACAGATCGCAGCCCCCCCCCCCCCCAGGGATGGCGAGGTCTAATTTGAATCTGCCGCGATTACCCTCTATGCTGAGCCCCCCAGCAGGCCTCGAAAGTGGCGACAGTTTCACAGATCGCAGCCCCCCAGGAATGGCGAGGTCTAATTTGGATCTGCCGCGATTACCCTCTATGCTGGACCCCCCAGCAGGCCTCGAAACTGGCGACAGTTTCACAGCCCCCCGCAGGCAAGACAGAAAGAGGCAGGAAAGAGGCGGGAGGCGGGAGGAGGAAGGACGCGACCACACTGCTCTATTCAAAACGAATACCCAACCAAGGAGGGTTGGGGGGAAAAAAAAAACAAAAAAAGACTTGAAATCAATAAAAAAAAAATCCGAACCCCTGGGCCTGGCAATGAAAACAATATTTGTATTCAAAAATCTCTGAATCTCTGTGGAAACACAAATGGTACCGATTGGTGTTTTCATTGGTTTGATTGAAATGCTCTGAATCTTTGTGAAAACACAATGTTTCCAGCATCTATATACATTATAATAAGATTTCATTGGTGGTGGAATCACAAAGGATTCCATTCGTGGCGGAATACACAAAAACTCTTTGTGGCTGGATACACTAGGATTCTCTTTGTGGCGGAATACAAAAGGATCCCCTTCGTGGCCGAGTACAAAGGGATTCCTTTTGCAGCGGAATACAAAAGAACCCTTTTTGTTGCGGAATACAAAAGGATGCCCGTTATGGCGGGATACGAAGGGATTCACGTTGTGGCGGAATACAAAGGGATTCCTTTTGTGGTGGAATACAACAGGAATCTCGTGACAGAATACAGAGGAATTCCGTTTGTGGCGAAATACAAAAAGATTTTCTTGTGTTGCGGATTCCGTAATTGGTACAAGTGGCGCAATTGGTTCCGTAAGTGGTACAAGTGGCGTAGGTTCCTCTGCCGTCCAGTGGTATCCTGTGTAATTCCCTGGGTTCCTTCCAATGTCGCCATACGCGTTCCCTCGGTCATCATATCCATTGTCTTCGTGATATGGCCCCTCAGCTTATTATTTCGTATCCGACTTGGAGTCAACGCTGGAGCAAACACTCCGAAGCCAGAAAGACAGACGAGAAAGGGACGGCATCGAGGGATCAACGAACGCACTGTCCAAGGAGCCAGCGCCGCGCTACTGTCGCTGGAGAGCTGGCCAGGCCCCGCAGAGTGTCGCCCTTCATCACATGAACAGTTCCCCGACGTCGCCATTCGAATGCGGAGGCATTCCTGCGAGAAGACCCAGGCCAGCCAAGGGCAACAACTGGAATGCAAACACCCCACGCCAGGACGCTCCAAGGATGGTCCTCGACGTGCTTTGTGATAAAATCCACATCGGAGATGTCTGCCACGATCAGGGTACACGTTTCCTCCCGATGGCTGCCATCGACGGCTCGTCTGCAAGGCCTGGACCAATTCTTGCTGCGGGCCCCATAAGGACCAAGATGTCAGCGCTGACTAGAAGGGCAGAGCCACGATCAGGTATAGGCGGTAGGGAGGGACATCCACAATCATGCGTACAGGTTGACGTAAAAACTGTCGGACATTGTGGCGAATATTGACAAACATGGCCGCTCCTCCTTCTCACCCACAAGAAGATCACCAATGCCTGGCGAGCCCGCTTGCAATTCTGGCAAGATTCAATGAGGGAATGATTTCAGAAGTACTCACTTATCAAGTGCTGAGCAAAATCAGCAAGTGGGCAAAATCAATTAGAGCCATGGCGGGCGACGCATGACTCGTGGGAAACATGCAGTTATGAAGAAGAAACAAAAACAAAAGGGAAAAGAGGTAATGGGAGGAGACAAGGGTCGGGGCTGCGGTGTGAGAGTTGCCGTGCCTTGGAGAGAGGAACAAGGAAGGACAGAAGGACAAGGAGAGAAAAAGAGAGCGAGGGAGAGAGAGACATGGTGGGGGTAGAGAAGCGAAGGGGGAAGGGAGGAGATGGGCAAGTAGAGTCGGAAGGGGAAGGGGGAAGAGAATGGATCAAGTGCACCGTCTGACCCAGCGGGC